AAAAAAAAAAAAAAAAAAAAAAGGGGGCATAGCAAAAAACAAAAAAAAAAAGAAGGGGGCATGGCGCACAAAAAGCAGTCTAGAATTCGGAAATAATGGCTGCAGTAAATGAAGCTCTCACCATCCGGGCATGGTGAACGATATTTCTGGCCTTGAATGGCCAGAGAGAGACTGAAAGAGTAGAATGGGAGATCGGTAGAGAGGACCAAGAGGGGAACAATAAGCAGAGCGTACCTTGAGTCAACGAAGAAAAAGACCAAAAATTGAAAACTGGCGGGAGATCAAACACGGAGAATGGGAAGAAGCCTCCCTTTTTGCCTTGCTGCTTGCATTGTCCTATAGGCATTTCGTTGGCGGGAAGGAATGCCTAACAGAAATTTTTCCGCCATTCAAAAATGGAGAAGGGGAAGAGAACGAACGAAATCCATGAGTCCACGTGTCAGCGATCACTGCCGTCAAGCAAGGTCCGGAAAAGCTCTTGGCGAAAATTGGCGTGATGAGAAAAGCTCTTGGCGAAAATTGGCGGGAGATCTCATCCAAACGGTCACACGAAGGTTCTCGACGGGGATGAAATTCCTCATAGACTGCCCCGGAGATGAGGGTAAGGAAGCCTACTAGAAGGAAAGATAGAAATGAGGGAGGAAACAAGGGAAAGAAGAGTGGGAGTAAGGAGCGGGGGAGAGGAGGAGAGAGGAGGGGGGAAATAAGAGGTGGAAAGGGAAAAGAGAGCGAACAGAGAAGGCAGGAGGGAGAGACAGCTAAACAGAGAGGAAAGCGGAGCGAAAGGAGATTGGGGAGGGGGGGAGGGGGAAGGGACGGGAGGAGGAAGAGAGATTTGTGAGCAAGAAAGGGAAGAAAAGTGGAGGGAGGACAACAAGAAAGGGAGAGGAGAAATGCGAAAAAGGGCAAACGCGAAGCGGGAGTCTTTAGACACGCTACAGGAAGAGATAGATATGGGCAAACCGGGGGCCGAAAGTGGGTGTCAGAGGGAAGGAGAGGATGGATGAAGGGGAGAGAAGGGTGAGAGAGGGGAGAAAAGTGGACGGCGGATAAGAAAGGGGAGAAATGGATGCGAAGGAGCAAAAGGAAGTAAGAAAGACCCTGAAGCGGAAGCAAAGAGACGCTACAAGAAGAGATAGAGATGGGGAAACCAGGGGCCGAAAGTGGGTGTCAGAAGGAGAGCACAGAGGGGAGAGGAAGTGAGGAAAGGATAGCCAATGGATGAAAGAGAGAGGGCAGGAAACGGAGGAAAGGGAGAGGAGATCAGCGATGACAACAGCGAAGAGGAAGGCGGATGGGAGAGAGAAACAGGAGCAAAACGAAACACAGCATGGAAGGGGGATGAGTCACTGAGAGAAAGATATGGCAAAGAAAGCATGCCGGAGACCGAGGAGGGAGAGGGGTGAGGATAGCGAGAGAGATGACAGGAGGAGAAGGGAGAAGGAACAAGAGAAGGTAAGAAAGTAGACAACATAGAAGGGGAGCAGACAACAAGGGACCCGGGGAGGGAGGGAGAGAGAGGAGGGAGGGAGGGGGGGCGACGGGGCCGAGTAGAAGAGTTAAAGAAATTACGGAAGGGGGATAATGATACACGAGCCGGTCGTAGCCGACTGTAGCAAAGAAGGACAAGGGAGAGCCTGTCCGTGGACAGGAGCAGAGCCTCAGGAAAGGTCACCTCCCCATAACCAAGTTTCCATACTCTCCCCCACCTACAACAAATATTCCCCCCCTACCCTCTTCTCCTGAATAGGACGTACGTTGATTTACCTGTACTTGGGGCAACTTTCAGTCTAGATGCAGGGATAATGACCGTGCGTTTTATTCGGGGGAAGAAAGGTAGCTTAATTGGCAATTACAGGGAGAAGATCACAGACAGCGAATGCTGTCCAACAGGCGGGAAAAAGGGTAGGAACCTACAAAAGGCGGGAAACGGGGTAGGAACCTACAAAAGGCGGGAAAAGCTGTCCAAAAGGCGGGAGGAGACAACCTACAAACGAACATATGAGCACAAGGAAGGGAAAAGCGCAGCGAAAGGATTATAGACCGACTAAAGATAGAGCAAGACAGCCTAGGAAGAAGAGGGGGAGTAGATGGGGAGTCGAAGCAGGAACAAAGATGTCGAGTTTATGTGGGAGCCACCATAAATTCCAAAATCCGACAAGAGGGACCGACCGAAGCACCTGGCTATATACAAGTACAAAATTCAAATTGGATTTCTCAAAAACTGATGCGCGCGAGAAAACGCCGGAAAGAGAGTGATACGATTCAGAGGAATAAGGGGAGAGAGCTGGGGGAAAGGTGGAAGAAAGGAGAAACGAGGAACAGGAGGGGAAAAAGAAGGTAGGGAAGGAGAAAAGGACAAGCGAGGAGGCCAAGAGGAAAGAGAGAGAGAGAGAGAGAGAGAGAGACACTAGCCAGACAACAGCGGGAAGAGGAAAATTTTGCAAAAAAAACACAGGAGGAAAATGCCGCCGGACAGCAGAGGCTCGGTAAGCAACACGAAGACGTGGATGAACAACAAGGGTAGAATCAAAATTGTCCATGGAGAAATAGGAGGTGAGAGAAGGGGGGGGGGGGGGAACCTAGAGGACCAAGAAGAAAGAAGAAGAACAGGGGCAGCAGATACTGGAGGAGAAAGGACAGGAAGAGAGGAAGAGAGGAAGAGGAGAGAACACTCTGGCTAGCTTTGAAGAGAAGAAAAAAAATTGACATTATCCCACGTAGGACGATTTGTCCGTTTAGGTATTTCATTTCCAAACACACCTACCGGTACCTACACAGGGGTTATCTATACCCCCGTCCCGGTTCCACGAACTCCACCAATAGCATTTCCTCTCCCTCAGAGCCCCCCCCCCCCCTCTCCCGCATCTTCTTCCCCCAAGCCTCCAGCCGGTTACCGACATGTCCACGCAATAGCAAATAGATAGCACTGACCTCTTCGACTTTCTGTATGTTGAGACTCAGAGTTGAGTTGATCCAACTCAGAATCTCGGACCGGCTTACGAAATAAGCGCCGTCCATCATTCCAATGGCTGCAGCTGTCATTGCCGTGTATTTTTGACGATCTGCTCCGCTCCCTACCCGTTTCCTCCTCTCCTCCGCCGTCCTTCCTTCCTTGCTTTGTTTCCTCCTTCCTCCCGTTTGCGCAGGAAGATCCTCGCGGTAGTTGCGTAAGCGAAAGAGATGTGAAAACAGGTCAAATGGTGGTGTGGGAAGAGATGTGAAAACAGGTCAAACTGTGGTGGGAAGAGATGTGAAAACAGGTGAAATGGTGGTGGCGGGAAGAGATGTGAAAACAGGTGAAATGGTGGTGGTGGGAAGAGATGTGAAAACAGGTGAAATGGTGGTGGTGGGAAGAGATGTGAAAACAGGTGAAGAGAGATGCAAACAGTTCCAGCGGCGGGAAGCACGGTTACCTGGCACCGAGGGCAGGCAAAGGGTGAACGAGGTCGCGGGCGATGGCGGTGGCGATGGCGGGGAAGGAAGCGGGAGATCGAGGTGAGGGCGGGCGGCAAAAAGCGTCACGACAGCAGCACGATGGCGGGAGAGATCGCGCCCAGATTCGGGGAAAAGCGGACGCGGGCAAGTAGGGAGGGGGGGGGGGGGGGGGGGGGGGGGACGAAGGATTATTCCGCGTGGCTTGGCGGGCGCAGAACGGCACACAGTGCAGTACAGTGCAGTGCAGTGCAGGAAGGGCACGATGTGTGTGCGGCACTACCGAGACCAGAGCTGTCGGACACTCAGAAGAAACGAAGAGGAGACTGAGCGCGCAGCGGCCACAGGCGCGCAAGGAGCGCGCACGGCGGCGGATCCGGGCGTGGCCAGCCGGAAATGGTCCCGCCAGAACAGACCCGCCGGGTGGTGGTGCTGTTGGCGGCTCCCCCTCTGCTCCCTCTCATCGGATCCAGACGCTAATGATTTTTATTTCATTTGTTTTTCTCGTTTTCCTTCCTTTTTCTTTTTTTTTTCTAACCCATATTCTTCTCTCACAATAGAGGGGACCCCCTCTGCAAGCATAGGATTCGTCACTAGAAATCGTTTTTCGCGCAGTTTTTTACGCAAGGCCCCGCCCAGCACCGGCGGGGTTTTTTGGGCCCTGGGTCCTACGGTAGGGTCAGGTCTTGCGGGCAATATGCCATCCCTTACGCACGAACCTATGGCGCTTACTGGGGAGTGGTCCCACTAGCAAAGAGGGTCGGATCGAATGCCTGAATCTGGACGTGTTTGTCGAGAGGTGCAGGAAATCGAGATTGAACTGCTTTTCTGCATCTCTGCATAAAACACGTCCACATTCAGGCATTCGATCCGATCCTCTCTTTGCTAATGGGACCTCGGCCCTGATCACCTTTGGCTGGGAATAGTAGGTACCACATCGACGTGTCCCATGCCGTGGTCCAATTACCGGTAGCAAATGGGATAGGATAGAAATCCTGAATCTGCCCATGTTTACTGCAGAGATACAGAAAACCAGTTCGATCTCGATTTCCTGCTCCTGTCCTTAAACGCGTCCAGATTCAGGCATTCAATCCGACACTCATTGCTAGTGGGACCATGGCCCCAGTGCCGCCATTCATTAGCGCGGCACAGGCACCGCAGCACCCTCTTCCTGTGCCAATGGCCATCAGCACAGGCTACTTCAGACCGATCTCGATTTCTTCCTTTTCACACTTCTGATTCCTTCTCTCCTCAGATTCGAGCACCTACCCTGTTTGCTAACAGTTGAATTCCCAAACCTTTTTTTTTTTTTGACAGAACTACTACATGGAATAGAATAGAACGCACCCTCAGTCTGTGAAGGGGAGAGTAGGTAATGGAAGGTAAAGAAACTGAAGTTGAGAGACGAATGTAGAAAGAAAAAAAAAAAAAAAAGAACGCACCCTTTTCTAGCCTGCCGCACGTTGGCGCAATTACACGTATACCGACCGTACATGAATTAGAGAGAAGAAGAAAAAAAGAAAAAAAAGAAAAAGAAAAGGGTAGAGATCTTATCTTGGATGGATGCACCCAGCCTTCGTGGCTGCGAGGCACACCTATGGTGTTCCTGCTGGTGAACAGGGGCCAAGTCCCACTAGCAGCGTTGAGCTACCTCAACGCCTGAATGTGGACGCTTTGACGGAGATGTGTGCAGAAATGGTGTTTAGTTTCCTGATCTGCACGTCTCCACAAACACGTCCAGATTCAGGCGTTGAGGTAAGCTCAACGCGGCTAGTGGGACTTCGGCCCCAGGTCACGTGACCAAAGCTGGATGAATACCAATACCATAATGCAGACGGAGGAAAAGAAAAGAAAGTTATGGTTAAATTAACTAAGTTGAGAGAGGAATAGAGTTGAATATAGTCCCTAATATGTATGAGGGTCGAGTTGCACTGTGAGAATTGGAAGGCATTCGGCTCGGCTGGTGCCCTAAGCTAAACTGCCTGATGCTGCCAGGATAACTCCGGGTAGAATTGTGGGGACCCCGGCCCTATCTCTTTTGCAATATATGGAATGCATGTCGTCTTATAAGGGGGCAAAAAAAAAAAAACTTTCGGTATGTTCTGGGCACTCCCCAGTACCTTTGGCGGGATAGGAAAACTTTTTTCTGGGCCACGGAAACGTCATACGGGTGAGCTTCCTTACTAGACCGTTCCAGTACTACCAAAAAAAAAAAAAAAAGCGTTGTAACACTCAGCCCATGTGGTTGAATGGTGCAGCAGTGAACTGTTAATACCGAACGAGTATTAACTGTGAATGACCTGTGACCTGGGGGAGGTCAATTCAATAGTGATATCTTCAAAACGAACTAGACATAGAGTAGCGAGAGGATGAGATAGATGAGGAAAATATATACAAACAAGAGAATGAGAGAAGAATATAGATTTAGATTAGTAATTTTTATTTTCTTTTATTTTTTATTTTGTTTAGATTTGTATTTTAAAAGACTGTCACCACCGCGGATGCTCTGTATTCATGATACCCTCGCACGGGAAGACTAAGGCCAGGACCCCACAGGAATTCCTTTGGAAAAGACGTTTCCGCAGAATGGCCGTCAGAAGAGTCTTGGCAAGTTTGGAAAGCCTTCTGCGGAGACCCCACAGCGGAGGCCTTTTTGCGGCAAAATGCGGATTGAACTTTCCGTAACAGGAAATGTGCCCGGGGTACCATCCCGAAATGGAAAGTGGTGGTCCGTCCGAGTGACCGCCCCTGGAGCCTAGGAACCACCAATGTCCGTTGGAGGGCGACTTCGGGTGGCGGTTGACGGAGTGGTGCGACACATGGACGATAGTGTAGGCTGCCCGGACATCTTCTACTCCCGCCTGAGCTGGAGACCTTGGAAACCTTCGCAATGCACCGCCCCCCAACGTTTGAGAGTCGGCACAAAATTGCGGCGGAAATCCCTCCCGCGTCACTTTTCCATGCCGCAGACCATGTGGAAACGGTTTCGGAAGCTGTTCCACGCCACATTCCGCGGCCTGTGGCGCCCCGCAGAATGATTCCGCGGAGTAAACCAAACCTTTCCACGACCTTTTCCGGGGCATGTGGGGTCCCGGAAACAATTACGCGGCAAAAGTTTTCCTTGCCGCATTCCTGTGGGGTCCAGGCCTAAGTATTTTGACTGAACCTGGCCTCCATTTCCAGGGTAATACATGTGGGAACGTTGTCACGTGAAATGTCAGTGTCCACCAAAGACTACTCACTCCGACGGAATTTGGCTGCCTCTTCCGGCCACATACATCCAGGAATCGCGTGGGACCTCGCTCCAGCACCGGTGACCAGACAGAAGACCAGACAGAATGAGCAAGACGAATAGACGGCGAGTGCAAGTGCATCTTTCCGCTTTTCTGGCCAAGATGCACTCCATCCACATTTTGCAAAATTGGTGACTCAGTCGCCAGGCCCTCCCGTTCACATAGCGACGCGTCACGCAACGACTCCACTCCGTTGAAAAAACAAGTGCAAAAAAAAAAAAAAAAAAAAAAAAAAGTAAGTGCTTGCGGCTGTGACTGTCTATTCCGTTTTTCACTGTCACATTGAACCTGGTCCTGATGGTGGCCAGCAGGTGAATGGTACACCCATGCAAACTGTTGGTATTCAGACCTGAGGGCATACTCACACGGGGACCAAAAGTCTGAAAAAATTGAGGCATTCGGTTTGTTTTTTTTTAGGAATTTGGTCCCTGTGTGGTCACACGGGAGGACTTTGTCCAGGGGGCACGCCGGGCCCGTTTCCCGGTTTCTTTCGACAATGCAAAAGTGATTATCCAACAGCTAAGCCAAAGCCGGCCGCACCCCATTGACCTTCTCTCCTCGTCTGACGAAGAAGACAGTGAGGGTGACAACCGAGGTAACAAAGAACCCGCCAACCAGGGCTCCCGGGACAGCCAAGAACAGCAGAGGCCCCTTAAAATCTCAACAAGGGGGAGGATGAAGGATTGGGTGGGAAGACAGGAGTTGTGGAATCTGTCAAATCTAAAGGAAAATGTGCTGCTGATCTTGGCAACCCGCCGCAACCCCCTTAGACAGCCAGCCATTGGGCTCCTTAAAGTTGAACCCCAATATCAAAACTGCCAACAGGAGTCGCCTTGATGGGTTGGAAGGGCAAACCCGAACTTCAATTGATAGCTGCTCACCTTCACAGCATCTGGGACATGTCTGAAGATGAGATACTCTCTTACATGTCAAGCCCCCAAGGGCTCCCCTTCCCACCTCAGATCCACATAGTGCTGCTGAGCCTACCCACCGAACCGTCCCACAACAGCGACCTTATTCAGGCAACCACAGAGTGGTTTACCAAAGACGAGCTCTGGCAACTCCCGATCACAAGACTGAGGACCAGCCAGATATGGCTGTCCTATCATGTCAGACACATTTTGGGACTCATCCTTTCCCAACGGCTGCTTGTCGTGCTTACCTCCACCATGCAGCGCCATGAATGAGCCAGGAAGGCAAACTGGAGACCCGCCCCAACCACACAGACCATACCATGACGACTAGACAGGATGTAACCGACGACCCCCCCCGCCCTCCCCCGCCCTGCCTGGCCGCTCAGCCCCCCGCCTCCTCTGTCAGCCACAGCCCCGGGCCCCCTCCTTTCACCGCCCTGCCACACCCATCGCCCCACATCCCTGTCTAGAGACAAGAGCCCTCACCTCCCATACCACCTCCCCCCATGAAGAATGTGCCGCTGTGGGGAAAAGCTCTGAAAAAAACAGACTTGGACGTGTGTTCAATAAATGTCAATGGTCTCGCAGGAGAGACGGTTAACGGGGACCCAAATATTCGCCGTTTTCATTGACATTTGTGGTGCGAATTTCATCAAAATTTTTAAAAACAAACGATATGAGACCATAGTGCAAACATCAAAAAAGGAAAGACTTTAACCTCGCTCCAGATCCCATGATTGACAGAAGGAGTCAAACACAGTCTGACGGGTTGGGACAGCCGCCACAGCACCAAGGTTTGGACACCCTGATGTTCAACCAACTGATGGCCGAGTTACAGTTGGTGGATTCATACAGAACCATACACCCCATTAAACAGGCATTCACATGTATAAAATCTCGGGGGTGCGACAGCCTATCGAACTCTAGAATCGATCTGTTGCTCCTCTCCAAGGACTTGGCTGGCCCGTTGATAAAGGCCTCCATACTTCCCTTTATCCCCTCGTGATCCTTCGATCACAAGATGATCGCCATTGGCCTCGTCTCGCGTCCCCCTTTTGAAATAAGACCCA